AGAAGGACGAGGCGGAGGAGGAGGGAGAGAAAGCGCTCCTCGTGGTTTGAGTCGTTTGGGCTTCTCGTCCTGGTGTGAGTCGTTCGGGCCCTTCTTCCTGGTGTGAGTCGTTCGGGCTCTTCGTGGTGTGAGTCGTTCGGGCTCTTCGTCCTGGTGTGAGTCGTTCGGGCTTCTCGTGGTGTGAGTTGTTCGGGCCCCTCGTCCTGGTGTGAGTCGTTCGGGCCCCTCCTCCTGCCCGTCTAGAAACGACGCCCAGGCGAGTAGAGGGTCGTCCTGATGGGCTTTTCGGCGTCTTGGGTGCCTCGGGGGGGCCTCTTTGGGCCGTTTGGGATCCTCTTGGGGGCCTCCTGGGTGCCTCTTGGGGCCATCTTGGGGCCTCTTGGTGCCTCCTGGGCGCTTCTTGGGGCCATCTTGGAGGAAATCGATCAAAGAAGAGGGGAGCTTTAATTAGCGCTGCCCCCTCAGAAGGCCAAAATGGGGCGAAAACCTTAGTACAATCAATGATTTTGGCTTGAAAGAAGAGGGGAGTAGGAGATGATGTAGTGGTACTACTAGTAGTAGTAGTAGTAGTAGTAGTAGTAGTAGTAGTAGTAGTAGTAGTAGTAGTAGTAGTAGTAGTAGTAGTAGTAGTAGTAGTAGTCGCAGCAGCAGCAGCAGCAGGAGTAGTAGTAGTAGTAGTAGTAGTAGTAGTAGTGGTAGTCGTCGTCGTCGTCGTCGTAGTAGTAGTAGTAGTAGTAGTAGTAGTAGTAGTAGTAGTAGTAGTAGTAGTAGAGGAGTAGTAGTACTAGTAGTAGTAGTAGTAGTAGTAGTAGTAGTAGTAGTAGTAGTAGTAGTAGTAGTAGTAGTAGTAGTAGTAGTAGTAGTAGTAGGAGTAGGAGTCAAGCTAGCCAGCTCGAGCGAGTCAAGCATGGCATGCCCAGTCCCACCCGCCCTCCCACAACAAAAGAAGCAAAGCTGGCACAACTGGGGGCCGAAGTCACACCGGCCAGCCGGTTTGGTACAGCTGATGCGGCCGCGATGGCGGTGGCCGACGGGAACTGGCGAGCGCGTGTTGAATGCCGCGCACGCATTGCCAGACGAGTCGAGAATGGCCCGGTACACCGCAGGAAGCCAGAGGTGGCCGGAGGAAGCCCGACGGTCTGACAGGACACCCAAAGCATTTTTTGGAACAAGCATGGTTTTTGATTGTTTTATGTTGAAATGCTTGGCACAAACACCGGTGTTCGGTGGATTTCGACATTGAACGCGGCGAGTGTGTCTCTTGTGGTATTTTGCCACAGGATCACTCGCCGGGTGCATGAGAGAGGATCGCGGAGTTTGTGCACCGCGAGATTGACGTGAATGCTGGATTTTGACAGAATTCTGCTGTATTCCTCTTGTGTTCTTGTTCTTTTTTCACTATGGTTTTCTATGATTTCAGCAAGCAAGAGAGACCGGGCGGGAATTTGTACAACTTGTGAAAAAAAACATTGGGTTTTTGAAGTTTTTATGTTGAAATGCTTGCAAAACACACGGTGTTCGGTAGGATTCTGACATGAACGCGCGCGTGTGCTCTTTGTGGTATTTTTTGCAATGGATTATCGCCGTGGACGACAGGACGTCCATGTCGAGAGGAAAAATAAGAAAAATGTTGATTTTGTATTGTTTTTTACAAGTTAGGATGGGACCCCCCGGATGCGGCCCCTAATGGCCGGCCTGAGGGGGGAGTAGGAGTATATTCTAATAAGGAATAAGGATAGGAGTAAGAGTAGGAGTAGGAGTAGTAGTCGTAGCAGTCGTGGTAGTCGTAGGAGTCGTAGTAGTAGTAGTAGTAGTAGTAGTAGTAGTAGTAGTAGAAGTAGTAGTAGTAGTAGTAGTAGTAGTAGTAGTAATAGTCGGTGTGGTACTGGAGGTAGTAGTAGTTAGTTAGTAGTAGTAGTAGTTAGTAGTAGTATAGTCGTAGTAGTTAGTAGTAGTAGTAGTAGTAGAGTAGTAGTAGTAGTAGTTCGTAGTAGTCGTAGTAGTCGTAGTAGAGTAGAGTAGTATAGTGGAGTAGTAGTAGTAGTAGTAGTTAGTGTAGTAGTAGTAGTAGTTAGTAGTAGTAGTAGTAGTAGTAGTAGTAGTAGTTAGAGTAGGAGAGAGTAGGAGTAGGGTAAGGAGTAGAGTAGGAGTAGGAGTAGTAGTAGTAGTAGTAGTAGTAGTAGTAGTAGTAGTAGTAGTAGTAGTAGTAGTAGTAGTAGTAGTAGGAGTAGTAGTAGGAGTAGGAGTAGGAGTAGAAGTAGTAGTAGAAGTAGTAGTAGATGTCTTTTGGGAGCCTTTTGGAGGCCTCTTGGGGCGTCTTCGGCGCCTCTTGGGGCCTCTTGGGGGTCTCTTGGGGGTACAGGCCTCTTGGAGGCCTCTTGGGGGCCTCCTGGGGGCCTCTTGGGGCCATCTTGGGGCCTCTTGGTGCCTGCTGGGCGCTTCTTGGGGCCATCTTGGAGGAAATCGATCACAGAAGAGGGGAGCTTTAATTAGCCTGCCCCCTCAGAAGGGCAAAATGGGCCCAAAACCTTAGTAAAATCAATGATTTTACCTTGAAGGAAGAGGGGAGCTTTCATGAGCGCTGCCCCCTCAGAAGGCCCAAATGGGTCCAAAACCGTAGTAAAATCAATGATTCTGGCTTCACAGAAGAGGAGAGGGTTTTTTCTGCCTCCCCCCGTCGGGGCCAGAATCCTCGTGAGGGGTGTCGTTTTTTAGCCCTCCCAGGAGTCGAAAAAGACCCCTCCAACCACCCGCGGGCCGCCCTCTCCAGGCCCAGGGGGAGGGGGTAGGGGGAGGGGTAAACCCCTCCCCGAAGGGGAAGAAGGGGGGTTGAGAACAGAGCGGACTCCCTAAACCACTCACGCCCAAAGGGCTGGTGGGACTTGGCCCTCCAAGGCCCCTACTCCTCCTTACCTTCCAAGGCCCTTGCACACCCTTGTCGCGCGTCCGTCCTTCTGGCACGGCTTCACTGTGGTCGCAGGAGCGAGGGCCCTGGTCGCAGGAGCGAGGGCCCACACCGCCGTCGGCACTCGTAGCTACCGGTCTGGGGGCCGCGCGTGGGGCCGCCGCTCAAATTCGGTCGTGCTCGCCCGTGGCGATGGCGCGGCGGAGGGCGTAGAGCGCCCCTCCTGTGAAGCCAGCTGTTCGGGGCTGCCTGCCGCGGGTCGCCGCCGCCGCCCCCCCCCCCCCTCCCGCCCTTTTCGGGGACGCCCTTGTGCGGTCACGGGTTAGCTCAGCGCTTCGGGCCAAGGCGGGCGCCCAGAAGTGGACGACGTTTTGCGATGTCGAGCTCTCGATGCGAGGAGGGTCGGCGGCGAGCGAGGAGGGGGGGGGAAATCAGAAGGAGGAGGCCTTCTCGCAGAAGGCGGCGCGGGACTCCTCAGAAGCCCTCGCGCCTCCTGTGAGAAGCGTTCTGCGCCTTCCGGGGAGGCTCCGAACACCTCTCAGCAGGCCTGGGGGGCTCCCGAGCCTTCTGAGAAGGCCCGCTCCTTCTCACCTGCCCCCCGGGCTCGCCTCCGAGAGGGGGAGGGGGTTCCCAAAACCTTGCCCCCCGAGCCTCGCGCTGCGCGGCCATCGAGCGCACAGCGAGACTTTGGCAACCGGGGCGGCTTCTGGTCCCCCTGGTGTTGTCCCGGGGGGCTCTCCACCTTGGAGCCCGGAGGCCATCTTGGGGCCCTCGTGGGCAGGCCAGCTCGGGCCGTCTTGAGCGCGCAGCCGGGAGACCGTCCTTGGCCAGTCTGGACACTGCGGAGGCGGTCTCGGGCAGTCGTGGGGGCTAGAGTGGTCCTGGGAGGGGCGCCAGGGACCGTCTGGGAAGCCGTTCTTGCTGGCGTCATTGAACACCACGTGATCTCAATCACCTTGGCCGCTCGAGTGGTTCGTTGGGGCGACTTCGGCCCATCTCGGAGGATCTTGGACCCCGCCCAGAGGCCACCTTGGCAATCATTTTCCTCGAAGTGTCCCTGGCACCTCTGTGTAAACCGCTTCCCGTCCGAAGTTCTCCGCCAGAGGCATCACTTATTGGTCAGGCTAGCCGTCACCGCTCAACACTTCGGTTCCATCTCTTGTGCTAGGTGTTGTCTCATTCCAACGTCTTGCGCCGCGTTGACGTAGCAAGAGTCGTCCAGCATCGTCCTTCGCGAAGACTCACAGCTGCGGCTATCTCTGGTATTGACACAGCGGGAATTGACGCAGCCCATTGGCCCCAGCAGGTCCAGCGGATTCTGGCTCGGGGTACGTCAGTGTCCCCGACCGCATGCGCGCAGGAGTGTGGGAGAGACGACTTCATTGGTTGACGAAACCATGCTCTGTGCGTCTCCCTTGCGTGCGCAACGCGTTGGCAAAGGCCAAAAGGGTGTGGAACATCCTCGCGTCGACTGCACGCGAGTCGTTTTCCCACGTTTCCGCAGGGTGTGGAACATCCTTGCGCAGACTTGGGCGCAGAATCATCGCGCTAGGCGGGGGTAGACCTGGGAAGTCTGACCCGAATAGTCCGAGGCTCTCCCCCTGAATATTCTTTCGCATGACAAAGGAAAGGAACCGTCAGATCCGTCGAAAATCTAAAGCTCTTGACTTGAAGTTGTCTTCTGGGACTCTCGTGGGGTCCTCTATAACGCCCAGGACTCGGGGCTGTGGACCTGTTTAAAGAGCATGTGCATTCAATAAAGAGAACTCGAAGAGACCTCAGAACAATCAGTGCCTCGCGGCACGGTGACTGATGTCATGTATTGGAGGTTCTGGGGCGCTCGATGACACTCCACTCATTGCCTGTGGCACGATGGCGGTTGCGATGCCTAGGGCCAGGGAGAAAGGGAAATGAGCTGTGAGATGGATGACATGATGGCTTAGTCGATCCATGGCCGCGCCCGGCTCAGCAGAACACTGTCATCCACAGCCATTTTTGGTTCGAGGGCTGGCATCAGGTCAGGGGCTAGGCGCTCTGAGGACTTACATCGCGGAAGGCCTCCCCCCCTGCAGGCCATCGCACCTGAAGCGCAGACATGGAGATGCCAGCCGAGTATGTAGGCAAGGACAGTTTCTTCGGAGGCACCCCGCCACTTCCGCAGGCAGCTGGCTACGCAATCGTCCTGGGTTTCGGTGCCTTCTTCTCGGTGTTAACGACCATCATGGTGTACTTGGACAAGACCGCCAACGGCACAGTAATCACCTCGGAGTTCTTCAACACCGCGGGCAGGAATGTGAAGACGGGGCTCACAGCGTCGGTCATCGTGTCGCAGTGGACCTGGGCTGCTACGCTGCTGCAGTCCTCCAACGTGGCCTGGAATTACGGCGTCTCTGGCCCGTTCTGGTACGCCAGCGGCGCCACCATCCAGGTGCTCCTGTTCGGTATCCTCGCCATCGAGTTGAAGAGGCGGGCACGGACGTGCCACACGGTCTGCGAGCTGGTGTACGTGCGCTGGGGCAAGGCCGCGCATTTGACCTTCATCTTCTTCTGCCTGCTCGCCAACGTGATCGTGACGTCGATGCTGCTGCTGGGCGGCGCCGCCACCGTGAACGCGCTGACGGGCGTGGACACCGACCTCGCCTCCTTCCTCATCCCGTGGGGCGTGATCCTGTACACGGCGGCTGGCGGTCTGAAGGCCACGTTCATGGCCTCCTACTTGCACACGGCAGTCATCTTCTTGGTCCTCGTGGTCTGCGTATACACCGTGTACGTCAAGGAATACTCTTCGAACATCATCTACGACAATCTGCAGGCGATCTCGGGCATGAGCCCGGCGCAGTGCGAGAGTCGCTTCTCTACGGGCGGGGCAACCTTCTACGAGGCGGGGAGCTACTCGTGCGGCCCGGTGGTCGACAACAACGACGGCTCGTACCTGACAATGCTCTCGCTGGGCGGCCTCAAATTCGGCATCATCAACATCGTGGGCAATTTCGGCACCGTGTTCGTGGACCAGTCCTACTGGCAGTCCGCCATCGCTGCGAAGCCGGCCAGCGCGCACAAGGGCTACCTGCTGGGCGGCCTGGTGTGGTTCACCATCCCGTTCGCACTGGCCACCTCTCTGGGTCTGGCTGGCGTGGCGCTCGGCTTGCCCATCACCGCGGCGGAGGCTGGCTCTGGCCTGGTGCCGCCGGCCACCGCCGTGCACCTCTTCGGTGATTTCGGAGCCGTGATGATGGCCACCATGCTCTTCATGGCCATCACGTCCACAGGCTCCGCGGAGGGCATTGCGGTCTCCTCCTTGATCTGCTACGACGTGTACAGGCGGTACATCAACCCGAGCGCAACCGGCGATCAGATTCTCAAGATCTCCCGCGTCGTCATTGTAGTCTTCGGGCTCGCCATGGGTGCTCTGGGCGTGGCCCTGAACCACATGGGCTTGAACCTGGGTTGGGTGTACCAGTTCATGGGCAACGCCATCGGCTCCGCGGTGGTGCCCCTGTGGAACGTCCTGATGTGGAAGGACGCCAATGCCATGGGCGCCATTGTTGCGGCGTGGGGTGGCATGGTTCTCGCGCTGGCCACCTGGCTAGTCATCTGCCAGGCTGAGTTCGGCGAGATCACGGTGGACAATCTCGGCACCCTCAATCCGAATCTGGGGGGCAACATCGTGGCACTGGTCTCCTCCGCGCTGATCCACGCGGGCTTCTCCTTCGCCAGCCCGCAGAACTACGACTTCGAGTCGATGGGGCAGATTGAGATGCTGGAGAACGACCAGTCTGGCCTGGACGAGGCCGACTACACCCCAGAGTTCCTGGCAGAGGCCAAGGCGTGGATCACAAAGTACGGTTGGGGCTTCACCATCCTAATGGTTATCGTGTGGCCCGTCCTCTCGATCCCGGCCGGCGTGTTCACCAAGGACTATTGGGCCTTCTGGGTCTTCATCAGCATCGCCTGGGCCTTCATCGCCACCGTTGCCATCATTGGCCTTCCGCTGTACGAGTCCAGCGATGCCATCCTCGGCGTCCTCATGTTCATGGCGGGCAAGAAGAAGGCGGAGAAGGCGGAGGCGGCGGAGCCAGCGAATGCGAATGCGAATGCGAATGCGGCGGAGCCTAAGGCTCAGGCCGATGCGATTTAGTTCGTGATAGGATGGAATAGGACAGGTAGGGGATGGAGGAGCGAGGAGCAATGTCGAGGACGGAGGAAGAGAGCCACGCTCTTTTGACGTGCCTGCCGTTGCACGAGCCCTGAGCCGCGCTTCACGCAGAGCCCCCGCAAACACCGAGCTACAGTCGACATGCATAATAAGGATGGGCAACCTTCCCGAGGGTACCCTTGCATCCTTGCCCCTTCGGCCCATCCGTGGCCACTCCCGCTGGCCGCGCCCCGCTCGAAGAGCTTCGAACTTGGCCCTCCAAGGCCCCTACTCCTCCTTACCTTCCAAGGCCCTTGCACACCCTTGTCGCGCGTCCGTCCTTCTGGCACGGGTTCACTGTGGTCGCAGGAGCGAGGGCCCACACCGCCGTCGGCACTCGTAGCTACCGGTCTGGGGGCCGCGCGTGGGGCCGCCGCTCAAATTCGGTCGTGCTCGCCCGTGGCGATGGCGCGGCGGAGGGCGTAGAGCGCCCCTCCTGTGAAGCCAGCTGTTCGGGGCTGCCTGCCGCGGGTCGCCGCCGCCGCCCCCCCCCCCCCTCCTGCCCTTTTCGGGGACGCCCTTGTGCGGTCACGGGTTAGCTCAGCGCTTCGGGCCAAGGCGGGCGCCCAGAAGTGGACGACGTTTTGCGATGTCGAGCTCTCGATGCGAGGAGGGTCGGCGGCGAGCGAGGAGGGGGGGGGAAATCAGAAGGAGGAGGCCTTCTCGCAGAAGGCGGCGGGACTCCTCAGAAGCCCTCGCGCCTCCTGTGAGAAGCGTTCTGCGCCTTCCGGGGAGGCTCCGAACACCTCTCAGCAGGCCTGGGGGGCTCCCGAGCCTTCTGAGAAGGCCCGCTCCTTCTCACCTGCCCCCCGGGCTCGCCTCCGAGAGGGGGAGGGGGTTCCCAAAACCTTGCCCCCCGAGCCTCGCGCTGCGCGGCCATCGAGCGCACAGCGAGACTTTGGCAACCGGGGCGGCTTCTGGTCCCCCTGGTGTTGTCCCGGGGGGCTCTCCACCTTGGAGCCCGGAGGCCATCTTGGGGCCCTCGTGGGCAGGCCAGCTCGGGCCGTCTTGAGCGCGCAGCCGGGAGACCGTCCTTGGCCAGTCTGGACACTGCGGAGGCGGTCTCGGGCAGTCGTGGGGGCTAGAGTGGTCCTGGGAGGGGCGCCAGGGACCGTCTGGGAAGCCGTTCTTGCTGGCGTCATTGAACACCACGTGATCTCAATCACCCTGGCCTCTCGAGTGGTTCGTTGGGGCGACTTCGGCCCATCTCGGAGGATCTTGGACCCCGCCCAGAGGCCACCTTGGCAATCATTTTCCTCGAAGTGTCCCTGGCACCTCTGTGTAAACCGCTTCCCGTCCGAAGTTCTCCGCCAGAGGCATCACTTATTGGTCAGGCTAGCCGTCACCGCTCAACACTTCGGTTCCATCTCTTGTGCTAGGTGTTGTCTCATTCCAACGTCTTGCGCCGCGTTGACGTAGCAAGAGTCGTCCAGCATCGTCCTTCGCGAAGACTCACAGCTGCGGCTATCTCTGGTATTGACACAGCGGGAATTGACGCAGCCCATTGGCCCCAGCAGGTCCAGCGGATTCTGGCTCGGGGTACGTCAGTGTCCCCGACCATAGGCGCGCAGGAGTGTGGAAGAGGCGACTTCATTGGTTGACGAAGCCATGCTCTGTGCGTCTCCCTTGCGTGCGCAACGCGTTGGCAAAGGCCAAAAGGGTGTGGAACATCCTCGCGTCGACTGCACGCGAGTCGTTTTCCCACGTTTCCGCAGGGTGTGGAACATCCTTGCGCAGACTTGGGCGCAGAATCATCGCGCTAGGCGGGGGTAGACTTGGGAAGTCTGACCCGAATAGTCCGAGGCTCTCCCCCTGAATATTCTTTCGCATGAAAAAGGAAAGGAACCGTCAGATCCGTCGAAAATCTATAGCTCTTGACTTGAAGTTGTCTTCTGGGACTCTCGTGGGGGTCCTCTACAACGCCCAGGACTCGGGGCTGTGGACCTGTTTAAAGAGCATGTGCATTCAATAAAGAGAACTCGAAGAGATCTCAGAACAATCAGTGCCTCGCGGCACGGTGACTGATGTCATGTATTGGAGGTTCTGGGGCGCTCGATGACACTCCACTCAGTGCCTGTGGCACGATGGCGGTTGCGATGCCTAGGGCCAGGGAGAAAGGGAAATGAGCTGTGAGATGGATGACATGATGGCTTAGTCGATCCATGGCCGCGCCCGGCTCAGCAGAACACCGTCACCCACAGCCATTTTTGGTTCGAGGGCTGGCATCAGGTCAGGGGCTAGGCGCTCTGAGGACTTACATCGCGGAAGGCCTCCCCCCCTGCAGGCCATCGCACCTGAAGCGCAGACATGGAGATGCCAGCCGAGTATGTAGGCAAGGACAGTTTCTTCGGAGGCACCCCGCCACTTCCGCAGGCAGCTGGCTACGCAATCGTCCTGGGTTTCGGTGCCTTCTTCTCGGTGTTAACGACCATCATGGTGTACTTGGACAAGACCGCCAACGGCACAGTAATCACCTCGGAGTTCTTCAACACCGCGGGCAGGAATGTGAAGACGGGGCTCACAGCGTCGGTCATCGTGTCGCAGTGGACCTGGGCTGCTACGCTGCTGCAGTCCTCCAACGTGGCCTGGAATTACGGCGTCTCTGGCCCGTTCTGGTACGCCAGCGGCGCCACCATCCAGGTGCTCCTGTTCGGTATCCTCGCCATCGAGTTGAAGAGGCGGGCACGGACGTGCCACACGGTCTGCGAGCTGGTGTACGTGCGCTGGGGCAAGGCCGCGCATTTGACCTTCATCTTCTTCTGCCTGCTCGCCAACGTGATCGTGACGTCGATGCTGCTGCTGGGCGGCGCCGCCACCGTGAACGCGCTGACGGGCGTGGACACCGACCTGGCCTCCTTCCTCATCCCGTGGGGCGTGATCCTGTACACGGCGGCTGGCGGTCTGAAGGCCACGTTCATGGCCTCCTACTTGCACACGGCAGTCATCTTCTTGGTCCTCGTGGTCTGCGTATACACCGTGTACGTCAAGGAATACTCTTCGAACATCATCTACGACAATCTGCAGGCGATCTCGGGCATGAGCCCGGCGCAGTGCGAGAGTCGCTTCTCTACGGGCGGGGCAACCTTCTACGAGGCGGGGAGCTACTCGTGCGGCCCGGTGGTCGACAACAACGACGGCTCGTACCTGACAATGCTCTCGCTGGGCGGCCTCAAATTCGGCATCATCAACATCGTGGGCAATTTCGGCACCGTGTTCGTGGACCAGTCCTACTGGCAGTCCGCCATCGCTGCGAAGCCGGCCAGCGCGCACAAGGGCTACCTGCTGGGCGGCCTGGTGTGGTTCACCATCCCGTTCGCACTGGCCACCTCTCTGGGTCTGGCTGGCGTGGCGCTCGGCTTGCCCATCACCGCGGCGGAGGCTGGCTCTGGCCTGGTGCCGCCGGCCACCGCCGTGCACCTCTTCGGTGATTTCGGAGCCGTGATGATGGCCACCATGCTCTTCATGGCCATCACGTCCACAGGCTCCGCGGAGGGCATTGCGGTCTCCTCCTTGATCTGCTATGACGTGTACAGGCGGTACATCAACCCGAGCGCAACCGGCGATCAGATTCTCAAGATCTCCCGCGTCGTCATTGTAGTCTTCGGGCTCGCCATGGGTGCTCTGGGCGTGGCCCTGAACCACATGGGCTTGAACCTGGGTTGGGTGTACCAGTTCATGGGCAACGCCATCGGCTCCGCGGTGGTGCCCCTGTGGAACGTCCTGATGTGGAAGGACGCCAATGCCATGGGCGCCATTGTTGCGGCGTGGGGTGGCATGGTTCTCGCGCTGGCCACCTGGCTAGTCATCTGCCAGGCTGAGTTCGGCGAGATCACGGTGGACAATCTCGGCACCCTCAATCCGAATCTGGGGGGCAACATCGTGGCACTGGTCTCCTCCGCGCTGATCCACGCGGGCTTCTCCTTCGCCAGCCCGCAGAACTACGACTTCGAGTCGATGGGGCAGATTGAGATGCTGGAGAACGACCAGTCTGGCCTGGACGAGGCCGACTACACCCCAGAGTTCCTGGCAGAGGCCAAGGCGTGGATCACAAAGTACGGTTGGGGCTTCACCATCCTAATGGTTATCGTGTGGCCCGTCCTCTCGATCCCGGCCGGCGTGTTCACCAAGGACTATTGGGCCTTCTGGGTCTTCATCAGCATCGCCTGGGCCTTCATCGCCACCGTTGCCATCATTGGCCTTCCGCTGTACGAGTCCAGCGATGCCATCCTCGGCGTCCTCATGTTCATGGCGGGCAAGAAGAAGGCGGAGAAGGCGGAGGCGGCGGAGCCAGCGAATGCGAATGCGAATGCGAATGCGGCGGAGCCTAAGGCTCAGGCCGATGCGATTTAGTTCGTGATAGGATGGAATAGGACAGGTAGGGGATGGAGGAGCGAGGAGCAATGTCGAGGACGGAGGAAGAGAGCCACGCTCTTTTGACGTGCCTGCCGTTGCACGAGCCCTGAGCCGCGCTTCACGCAGAGCCCCCGCAAACACCGAGCTACAGTCGACATGCATAATAATAAGGATGGGCAACCTTCCCGAGGGTACCCTTGCATCCTTGCCCCTTCGGCCCATCCGTGGCCACTCCCGCTGGCCGCGCCCCGCTCGAAGAGCTTCGAACTTGGCCCTCCAAGGCCCCTACTCCTCCTTACCTTCCAAGGCCCTTGCACACCCTTGTCGCGCGTCCGTCCTTCTGGCACGGGTTCACTGTGGTCGCAGGAGCGAGGGCCCACACCGCCGTCGGCACTCGTAGCTACCGGTCTGGGGGCCGCGCGTGGGGCCGCCGCTCAAATTCGGTCGTGCTCGCCCGTGGCGATGGCGCGGCGGAGGGCGTAGAGCGCCCCTCCTGTGAAGCCAGCTGTTCGGGGCTGCCTGCCGCGGGTCGCCGCCGCCGCCCCCCCCCCCCCGTCCCGCCCTTTTCGGGGACGCCCTTGTGCGGTCAT